TCCTTTCTCTTTAGCAGTTCATTATCTCTCTTCTCTTCCATCTCTGTTAGCTTCGACCTTATGAATGCTCAAAATTCCTTATCAGACATTTTCATGATTTTCACTGAACTGCTTGTGTATGAAGAAGAGTTACTCTTTTCCCTTGGAGGAGAGGTATTTTCTTGTTTTCCCATATTTCTCGTGATCCGGCAGTGATTTCTTGTCATCTGATGGATGGTGTGTTTCTTTCAAATTCTTGAAGTTCAGCCTTAATGTTCAGGAGCAAGCAGACAGAGGTGATCTAGAATCTCTTTGCCGTTCTGTTGTGATCACTGGTGCAGCAGATTCAGTAGATAGTGGGGAATATTTTAACTCTATTAGTATTTGGATGTTTAGCTACAGTGCTCTTAGATCCGTCAATAGCTCGTTTGCTGGAGGCTGAATTATCAGAAAATCTTCATTCCCTGAAATATCTAGTTCGCTGGAGCCATGTGGAAACTTCTCTATTTTTCACTTTCTATCTCTGTCTCTCTCTGTCTAGTGCACACACCCTGCACTAAAAACTTCCCTTAAAGAAAATATGTAGCTCTTTAGTATGCTGTTTATTGCATAAAAAGTAATGACAATTCTTTATTTATATTAGAATTAGGTACTAGGGTAAATATAAATAAAGATTTTCTAGCAATTTATTTTTTATTTATTTTTTATTTTTTGGAGAAGTTTTTGCTATAGGACACGTGTGCTTGCCAGAAAGACAGAGAGAGACAGAGAGACAGAAAGCAAGAACTCACACCCCCACCCTGGGGGGATGGCCATGCTGGAATCCCTTCTCCTCCTCCATTCTCCTCTTGGGATCTTGGACATGCACACCCACGCACCCAGCATGAGTTTAAGCCGCTGGGTCCAGGACTTGAACTGCAGTTGACTACATGGGAGTCCAGCGACATAGCCATTACACTAACTGCTGGTCCCAAGCAATTGATATATTTATTTGTTTTTAAGCCACAAGGTCCGCAACTTGAACCATGGTCAACTACATGGGAGTCCAGCAATATAGTCATTACACTGTAGGCTGGTCCCCAGCAATTTTATTTTTAAGCAAAATCGTAACTACCAGACTTTGGATTTTGACCTATATAAAGTGACAGCTGGCTATTTTGACTATAAGGACTCCCAAATCCCAGTATTTCCATAGTTTCTTTTTTCATGCTATATGTCCTTCACAGTATGTTAAAAAACTTTATTAAAATTAAACTTCATTATATATGTAAATAATACCCAAAGTCATAGCACTAATCTCATGACAAGACTTAAGAGTCATTCTTGGTAGGGAATGAGCACCTTTTTCTAGAACAACATTGCCCTGTACTGTGGTGCTCATCTCCAGTACTAGCTGCCTTTTATACTTTACTTTCAAGTTCTTTTTGGAAACAACTGCATTCTCTGTGTCTAATTTTGTGCTCACACTTTGTTTGCTAAGTAGAAAGGTTTTTCCCGCATTAGGCTTGAGAGTTCTTCCATATTTTACCTCTTTAATATAAAGCCTTCTTTGCTCCTGGGTACAACTTCGAATAGAGTATCCCGTGTCAACTTGTACTATTCACCCTCGTTTTGAAGCTGAGAGTATACACTTTCTTAGTTGTAGTTAATACATGGGAATTGTTTCTAAATTAGTAAGTAAATTAAGATGAGACAGGGTTGAGTTTTTTTTTTTTTTTAATAGTTGTTTTTGTTATATTGTGTTTTAATATTCTGTACAATTATTTGAAACCAAAGGCTTTTTTTACTGGGTTTCTTTCCAAGCAGTGATTCTACTCTGAGTGTGAAGGACACAAGAAAGGATGAAAATGAGGAATGGAGTTCGACAAAATGTAGGGTTATACGAGTGCTGCAGGCTGATCCAAATTCTGCTGGCCGACCATGTGTGAATGCTGTCAGCAGATCACGTGAAGTAAATCCAGAAGGAGTAAGGTAAACATCTACAACTTCTTGATCTCCCTGTGACAAAAATGACCAATGGTGACCTTTTCCAGAAACACAGCAGAATAGTGTAGTCATCGGGTGAAACAAGAGAACACTCAACTGTTGATTCTATTGAAAAGTTGACACAAATAAGAACAAGTTCCTTGATAAGGAGCAGTTTCAGTAGTTTCTAGGAAAACCTGACTGTGAGTTAAGAATAGAATTCTCCTCTGAGAATCTTTAATAGTAAAGGTAAGGGAGAACTGGGTAATAAATTAAGAGCTTGGGATTCCAGCAAGTTTTCTTTATTTTTTTAATCTTAAAACAGATGATCTAGGTTACGTTTGTATGCTGTGGGAAATGATCCTATAGGTTTATTATGTTTACTTATTTTTAAGGTATAAGTATTAGAAGTCATGAAACATAATCTTTTAAAATTTTTACAATAAAATATTAATAATTTCTCTTTAAAGTTGCATTCATATAAACTTTCATGTCAAGAGGGCAGTCATTCAAAATTAGTTCAGAAATGAAATATCATAATTTATTTCAACATGTAAAGAATGACATAAAGTTAAACTATCATACATAGATTTTTTAAAATATGTAATTATAAACTTACACAATACAAACACACACACAAATACCAGGCTGAATAGTATTTTTTTTAGGTTTAGGAGCCAGCATGTGGTGTGGCAGTTAAAAGGCAATGGTGTAACATCTGGCCAACTTGGTTCAAGTCTCGGCCATGACATCTTTCTCTCACTTTCTCTCTCTTTCTCATCAAATTAGAATCAAATAATCATGATGATAATAAATGAACTGAAAAGGAAACAAAGGAACTTTATTTAGTTTGTTTTATCCTCTTAAGGGAACGTGTACTCTCCCGAGAGAGTGCAGTGTGAGGGGTGGATGTAAGAAAACACCTTTTGGGTTGATGGCCATGCAACAATTTCATCTTCTACATACTCTTCTCAGGGTTATTGGCATACACACAAACATACTCAGCATGTTCTTCAAGAAGCCAGGACTGGGACTTCAGCTGTCAGTTCTGTCGTGTGGGAATCCAGAGTCTGAACCTCCCCACCACCTGCTGGCCCCTACATTGAATAAAATTGAGTCCTCCTTGATGATGAGTCTATGTTTTACAGTATCTTTGACAATATCATTGTGAATAGCTATAATTTCCTGAGATTTTTAAAATATTAGTTCAAACTACCCAATAGCTATTTAGACTCTAGTGAAGAGAAGTGACATTGTTTATGTTCAATACAAATGTACACTATAGACAAACTGTCATAGATTATTACTTTCTAGTTATCAAGTTCTGAAGTATAAAAAAAACCATGTCCCTGCACCAGTAATGTCATTAACACATATTATGCATTTGATAAGTATTTGTCAAATGTATGAAACAACTGTTGAAAAAAAGAATGAGTCTCTTGATTCATTTATTTATGAAAAAATAATCTCTAGATTATTGAAAGCTGCTTTCCACAATTGCCTATGTATAGTCTTTTTATTTCTAAATTTTCTTTCTTTTGGTATTTTTTTTTCTTTTTTGCTGTAAAGCACATGCACACACCAGAGAGAAACTAAACAAGAGAGATACAGCGAATGTGAAGACCAGACGAGGGCAGGTGGAGGGATGGCCACACTGCAATCCTTTTATGGCTTTGGATTTGGGGCACACGCATACACACATACATGCACCTGGCATGATTTTTCAAACCACCGGGTCTGGGACTGAAACTGCAGTAGGCCATTTGGGATCCAGCACTCTAACGTTCACACCACCTGCTGGCCTCTTGGTTCTTTGTAGTAAGTTATATTCTCTATATTAAGAATTTCCTTCTTACTTGCTATATTTTTTCCATTGGGAAACATGGTCCAATGGATCAGAGAAAACACAAACTTTATTGGTATTTTAATAAGAAATACAAGAGTGTAGTAAATGAATGGGCTGAAAAAGTTGATGTCAAAGGATTATGAGATTTTACATAATTGAAATAAAAGAGAACATAGAAATTTATTTGTTTCTCTTGTGGTAATCAGTGCTTGGCTTCAGTCAAGGTTGATTCTATCTGAGCTGCCTTCTGATTTTATATAGAGTTCTGGGAAGAACGGAGATTCAGAACCAGCAGACCTCAAGAGCCACAAATGGGTTGACATCCTCGTTGGTGGTCTGGTTATACAGTGCATGTTGCCCACTGGTTGACGGTGGAATGTGTGTTTATCAGAGTGGGTTGGTCTCAGATAGACTGTCTTTCCGAAGACTGTGACTGACATGGAGAACTGATTAATAAAGCTAGTGGTCACTGACTGAGTACATGTAAAACTAGGGCCAGGTGGTGTCACAGCAGTAAACGCAGTGCTCTGTGAAGCTAATCCTCAGAGAAGGTGCTGGGTTTGTGTCCAGAGTCCTCCCTGAGTGCCAGGCATTTGCTTGTCCATGGTGTGGAATTGGGTGAGGCTAGAATTCAGTTTCAGCATCAGAACCTTATTGGGGCTGCAGCCTCTGTCTTTGTCTTTCTCTATTAAAAATTAAATAAATGTGGGGCCAGCAGTTAGCATAATGGCTATGTTGCTGAACTCCCATGTAGCTGACCGTGGTTCCAGTCCCAGACCTGGTGGCTTAAACTCACGTCAGGCGCGTGTGCGTGCGTGCATCCTGAGAGGAGAATGAAGGAGAAGGGATTGCAGCATGGCCATCTTCCCTGGGGGGTGATTTCTTGCTTTCTATCTCTCTGTCTCTTTGTCTTTCTGGTGAGCACACATGCCCTATAGCAAAATCCTCTCAAAAAATTTTGAATAAATGAATAAAAATTTAAAATGTGTTCTTGTGGCTGTATGACCAGGACTGTGGATCAGTCCATTCCTAACCTTGAGATGACTTTGACCAGATGCCTTCTGTCTAGATGTTGCCCTTGGTCCACCTGGTGGCATAGTAGTTATGGTGTCTTCATCCCATAAGGTCGACTACATGGTTCAAGTTCCCGACCTCACAGCTAGAGAGACACACTGGGCACTTGCATGTTGGTGCCTAAGATCCTGAGGAGAGAAAGAGAATGGAAAAGGGCTTGCAGTGTAGCCATCCCCTCAGGGGATCTCTCCCTCTCTCTCCCTCTCTCCCTCCTCTTCCAAGCACCAGAAGCCAATAGCTAATGAAAAACTAAAATAATGTGTTGCCATTCATCTCTCAAGTATGTTTGAAGTGAAAAGCTGTTTTTTATTCTTAAACTGTAGACTTATTTTTTGCAGCTTAAAGTTTAGGTTGAAAAGAATTGCATAATGATGTCTGTCTGGATCATTTCTTCTTTTTCTTTATGCTTAGTCTTAACTGGATTTATTTACATCACTTTTATTTTATAGGTAATTGTTATTTTTATTTTGTTTTTGGTAGTTTTATGAGCTTATACTCAACTCCTAATGTAATAAACTCTAGTGAGAAATTTCAATCTTTCCTTAAAACTTATGTAGGGATATAATAGTGTTGTTCTTAGGATCTGCAGGTTGTGTAATGGTTACATTGTTAGACTCGCACATAACCAACCGTGGTTAAATTCCCAGACCAACTGCTCTAAATTCACGCCAAACACTTGAGTATGTGGGCCCAAATCCAGAGATGAGAATGGAGGAGAAGGGATTGTGCAATGGTCAAACCCCCTGAGGGTTATTTCATACTTTGTATCTCTGTCTCTCTGGCTAGTACATGCCCTCTATAGTAAAAATGTCCCTTAAGAAAATACGATGTTCTGGGACCAGCAGTTAGCGTAATGGCTGTGTCACTGGACTCGCATGTAGTCGACCACGGTTTGCATCCCAGACCCGGTGGCTTAAAACTCATGCCAGCTGCGTGTGCGTGCGTGCCCAAGATCCCGAGAGGAGAATGGAGGAGAAGGGATTTCGGCATGGCCATTCCCCCTTGGGGGGTGATTTCTCGCTTTCTATCTCTCTGTCTCTCTCTCTGTCTGGCGAGCACACGCACGCTATAGCAAAAACCTCTTAAAAAAAAAAAGAAAATATGATGTTCTTACATATGCTGTTTACTGCATAAAAAAGTAAAGACAATTCTTTACTAATATTAGAATTAGGTATAAGGCTAAACATAAACAAAACTTTTGTAGTCATTTTATTTTTAAACAAAATCATAACTAACCAGACTGTAGGTTTAGAATGATATAAAGTAACAGTTTGTTATTGTAAAATAGGTTTCCTCTAAGCCTCAGTATTTCCATAGTGTCTTCTATATGTTATATGTCCCACATGGTATGTTAAAAAAAAACCTTATTAAAATTAAACACTATCATATATGTAAATAATACTGAAAGTGATAGAATTCATTTATAGTGCATCCAAGTCTTCACAGGTGTTCCTGTTGGGGGTGAGCTCCTTGTTCTAGAATAACATTGCCCTGTAGTGTGTCAGTCATCTTCAATACTTGGTTTTCTGCATGCTATACTTTCCTTTCAAAATCTTATGGACGGGAACCAGCAGTTAGCGTAATGGCTATGTCGCTGGACTCCCACGTAGTCGACCGCGGTTCGTGTCCCGGACCCGGTGGCTTAAAACTCACGCCGGGCGCGTGTGCGTGCATGCCCAAGATCCCGAGAGGAGAATGGAG